TTTTTCTTTTTCTAGTGTTATTGGTAAAACAGCGTTGCTCTTTATGTTAATTTTATCTATAATAAAAACTATTTTATTTACTAAACACCTCTGTCTGTTCTCCTTTCATTCTGTTCTGGACCCATTTGTTACCAGTCCCCACACACACCCCTAGACCTTCATCGTGGGGACGTAACAATGTGGGGGCTCGTCCGGGATATGACTGGAAGGAACAGTGGTTAGGTTGTAGTGTGTTGTTTGCCGGTGGCTTGTGTAGTTGTGTTGTATCTGCTATACTCGCTCCAGTTAGCACAGGGCAGTGTCTAGCTGAGCGTAAGCTCCTCCTTCAGGCACTCATTTTTTATTTTGCCTTTTTTATTTTCAGAGTAATCCCAAGTGGGGATTAGTTCCCTGTCGGGGTAGGCTTGCCGGTGCTTTGTGCACTTGATGCTTAACCTTTAAAGTTGCCTCGAGCCTGGTACACTCCAGAAGCTAACTAGGCTAAGATTTTAGTAGGTAGGTCTGGGGAGAGGGTCGATGGTATCTTTATTTATTGGTTAACCTGTGGTCACACATATATCCCACCTGTTTTTGATTTGTGTGTTGGAGGTGGTGCTTCTTTGTTGTTATTGTTAGCCTCAGGTAGTTTTGAATGGCTACCTTTGATGTTGCCATGTTTAAGGCAAACCCTTCGCTTGTCCAGCTGGACGCCTGTAAGGAGAGGGATTTGCATGAGGTGGCAGCAATTTATGGCATTTGTGTCTCCATAGCTCTGCGTAAGGCTGAGCTGAAAGCTGCTCTTATGTCTGGATTGGTGGAGAAAGGGATGGTGGCCTTGCCGGTGTCTGCCAGTCCACCTGAGCATGGTGTAGTGTCTCAGCCTGTTCCGCAGGTGCCATCTCAAGCTGTAGCTCCATCAGTGTTTACGCCTGTTGCTCAGGGGTTGCCTGAGGACAAGCAGATGACACTGCCTCACTTTGAACCTCTCTCCATTGAATCATCAGTAGACTCGAAGCAGGATGCTAGGCTCCGTGTACGCCTGCTTGTCTTAAGTTGGAAAAGGAGGATCGTGAAAGGGAGTTGTAACTTAGGCGTTTAGAGGCAGAGCTTGCAGGGCCAGGGAGGTTGAATTGAAGGAGGTGGAGACAGCTGTCAAGTTGCAACAGTTGGAACTCCAGCTGGCTTCCCTTCCTCCAACTGCCTCCATTCGGCAGGCAGATGCACCGTTTGATGTAGGGAAAAACAGTTGTCTGGTTCCGGTGTTCCGCGACACTGAGGTCGACAGTTACTTCGAGTCATTTGAGCGTACAGCCACAGCTTTGCACTGGCCACGGGATTCGTGGGGCATTTTGTTACAATGTAAACTGGTAGGTGAAGCTCAGGAAGTTTGTTCCTTATTGTCCGCTGAGGACAGTCTGAATTATGACAAGCTAAAAAGTGCCATCCTTCTAGCTTATGAGCTAGTCCCAGAAGCTTATAGGCAGCATTTCCGGGGATTAAAAAGGGGACAAGGTCAATCCTACTGAGACTTCGCGAGGAAGAAAAGTGTGCTTTTTGATCGGTGGTGTCCAGTGTTAAGAAATCAGTTTCACCCCGGTTCTTTTTATTCCTCAGGCATCCAGAGACGGCACCGGAACTCAGTAGTCATTTCACAAAACCTTTATTCATCTTCATCTAAGCATGCATCTTCTAGAAGGGAAGACGTGCAAGGCCGGTGTCCCTCTGCAGATCTTCACTGCTTTGTCTGTGAAACAGTTTTGTAGAAGTGACCCCATCATAAAACCCGTGTGTGTGTGTGTGTGTGTGTGTGTGCGCGCGCGCGCACGCGCGCCATAACAGTCAAAGCACTGTGTGTCTCTGTGTACGTGACTTCCTGGGGGTCATAAAAATAATCTCACCCAAGCTACACATAATTCCTCTACACAACATAGAAAACAGAGTTAACATATTACAAACACTGAGACCCCCACTCTGCATCCACTGGGCCATTGGCCTCTTGCTGTCTTACATTTACAGATCATGTGGAGAATCTCCTGCAAACCTACTTCTAAGTGTATAACACTTATGAGTTTTATTAAAGGTATAAGCATCAGCAACCCCCAACTATAGCTTCCTGTCTCCTTTTAAGGCAGGCAGACCCCCAGTATCCATAAATTCATTTCTCTCTAAACAATTACACACTCTCAGGGCTACAACTAAGCCAAACTAAAACACAGACAAACAAATCCTTCCCTATTCCTCTGATCTAAACAAATTTAACACATATTATACTAATTATTTTCTTGTACTCACACCAGCAAAGCTACAGACCTGGCGTCGATGCGTGAATTAATGCTGTTAGAGGAATTTAAGAACTGCGTCTCCGAGCGCATTGCAGTACACCTTAGCGGACAAAGGGTTTCCTCATTACAGCAGGCTGCAACACTGGCTGATGAGTTTGCCCTCATCCATAAAACCAGTGTCATTAAGCATTACCGACGCGATGCCTCAGTGAAGGTTAGCAATGTGCCAGCTGTGCCGTACCCAAAGAGCGAGGTACCTGTGTCCCGTCCCAAGGTGA